CCCCCCAGGCAGGCGCCTAGCGGGCCAAGTGCTGCCCCAGCTTGGAGGCAACACCCAGCTTGATCCAACTCTTTCCTGAGCCTGCCTGGGCTTCCAGCACCCTGTGCACTGTCCCCACCACCTTCCTTCTGCTCGGGAATGGCCTGTCCTGGGCAGCGCAGGGAGATGGCAGGAGGGCAGCTGGGTATGCTGGCAGCGGGAATAGTGGATGGGGCACTGGAATCCTGCCAAGCCTGAGCTTCCCTGAGCGTGCCTGAGCTTCCAGTGCCCTGTGCACCATTCCTGCCACCTTCTCCAGATGCCAGCACATCCAGCCACCATCCTGCCGCCTCCCCACACTGCCCCAAGGGCAAGCCAGCCCATTCCCGGTGGTCCCAGATGGCGGGAAGGTGGTAGGGACAGTGCACGGAACGCAGGAAGCCCTGGTGGGCTTGAGGAAGGGTTGGATCTGGCCCGGTGCTGCCTCTGAGCTGGGGCAGCACCCAGTCCGCTAGCAGCCCACCTGGGAGCCCCAGGGGGTGCCACCACGATGGAGGGAAGGACTGGGGCCCCCAGCAGCTCAAGGACCACTCAGCCTGCTAGCATCTTGCCCCCCAGCTGCAGAAAAGGCAGGCAGGCTCCACAAAAAAAAAAAAAAGGATCAGGCCCCTCACTGCTTCTGCTTTCAGCAAGTGCCTGCAGCTGCCAGGCACCTCTGCTGAAGGGAAAAGTGGCGAGGGGCTTGATCCCTTTTTTCGGCAGAGCCTGCCCATGTCTCCCACAGCGGCGGGAAACGCTGTCAAATTAAAGGCTGCAATGTTACAAGTAGCAACACTGCAAACTAAACTACATGGGGATGTGATTTAGTTTGCAGCACTGCAGACTCATTTGAAACTCCCCCAAACCTCGCGCACGTGTAATGTGTGACGCTATTAAGCTACACAAAGGAAATTCTTGTCATGGTGACAGCCGTCATGTACAAGCACCCCTAAAGCTTAAAAAGGTTTGGCATGGTCCACTGAGCAGGGCACTGTCATGGGTGCTCAGAGTCCTGGGTTCTATTCCTAGTCCTGATATTGTCCAGTGACCATGACCTTTCATTTCTTTGTCTCTTTTTCCCTTATCTATCTTAGTTTTCTCTTATTAGGTTGTTTAAAGTTCTTCAGGGCAGGGACTGTTTCTTATTATGTGCATATGCAGTGCCCTGCCCAAAACGGTCTCACATCACTGTTTTACTGTAATTCAAACTTAATAATTCAATTCACTAGAAAACCCAAACAGAAGGGAAAACGTTTTAAAAATAGCTTTCTGTGGGATTAGATTCATTTCATGTAGACATCAGAGTAAGGGGGCTTTTAAGAGAGATTTGAAGGGACTGATGGTAGTGGTAGAGCTGACATGGGAAGAACATTTCATGCACAGAAAAGAGCTTAAGGAGAAAACAGATATGCATCTCATGTTACTACATACAGAATTTCTTGTGCATTTTTAGTAATATGTGTGGGAGCTTGTGCTGCTACTGTCTACAATATTCCTGTTCTATGAATTCAATTGAGGAGTCTTTCTCCTGGGATGTTTCTGAGCACAAAGATTTTCTGGGAGGATGTTTCAGTTTGGTTAAGCTCTGTTGCAAGCATTCACAGATGAGTGGAAATACATTTTTTTCATAGGAAGCAAGGAGAGTAGCCTTGTTGACTTCATTAATACAAGTGGCACAGAGATGAGTACCTGAGAAATGCATGTAGTGACAATCTCCATGCATTGCACTGAAATTACTCCTTTAAGTCACCTGTTAAAACAAATATTTCAGAGCTGGATTTCAAGCACTTGTCTCCAGTCCCTCAAGTCA